AGCTTCCATGGAGCCCTTGGGTGGATGCTCGGGAGAACTCCAGGAATTCCACAAAGTGGGAAAAGGACAAATCCCAGGATTTGGGTGCAGTGTCCAATCCCAATCCCTGTCCCAGGGCCCATCCTGGTGCTCAGCAGCTCCTGGGAGACATTCCCAGAATCCCAGAATCCCAGAATCCAGAAAAGATTTCCCAAAACAACCATAGGCAGAGCCAGGATTCCCAGGTTTTTGGGAAGAGGAGGGATAAAAACAACCCAGGCAGAGCTGGTGGGATATCCTGGGAGTTTCCCCATTCCCCACAAAGCTTTGGATCGAGTCGGGAATGCCAAGGATGGGGTTGGGAATGCCAGGGATGGGGTTGGGGTTAGGAATGCCAGGATTGGGAATGCCAGGGATGGGTTTGGGAATGCCAGGGATTGGATTGGGAATGCCAGGGATGGGAATGCCAGGATGGGTTGGGAATGCCAGGGTTAGGAATGTCAGGATTAGGAATGCCAGGATGGGTTAGGAATGCCAGGGATGGGGTTGGGGTTAGGAATGCCAGGATTGGGAATGCCAGGGATGGGAATGCCAGGGATGGGGTTAGGAATGCCAGAGATGCATTTGGGAATGCCAGGATGGGGTAGGAATGCCAGGGTTAGGAATGCCAGGATTGGGAATGCCAGGGATGGATTTGGGAATGCCAGGGTTAGGAATGCCAGGGATTGGATTGGGAATGCCAGGGATTGGGTTAGGAATGCCAAGGATGGATTTGGGAATGCCAGGGTTAGGAATGCCAGGATGGGGTAGGAATGCCAGGGATGGATTTGGGAATGCCAGGGATGGGAATGCCAGGATGGGGTAGGAATGCCAGGATGGGGTTAGGAATACCAGGGATGGGGTTGGGAATGCCAGGGATGGGAATGCCAGGGTTAGGAATGCCAGGGTTAGGAATGCCACGATTAGGAATGCCAGGATAGGGTTAGGAATGCCAGGGATGGATTTGGGAATGCCAGGGATGGGGTTAGCAATGCCAGAATTAGGAATGCCAGGGTTAGGAATGCCAGGGATGGGTTAGGAATGCCAGGGATTGGATTGGGAATGCCAGGGTTAGGAATGCCAGGGATGGATTTGGGAATGCCAGGGATGGGGTTAACAATGCCAGGATGGGGTAGCAATGCCAGGATTAGCAATGCCAGGGATCCCATCACGGGACAGGGAGCAATTCCCATGGGGAAGGAATTTGCAATTCCCTGGATTCCCGCTGAACCCTCGCGGCCCAAACCGGTGCTGCTGGGAGGGGGCACCGGTGCTGGAGCTGCTTTTCCAGAGGCTGATGGAATTCCCAGGGGGCTCCTGTCCCCTCCCGGCTGCAGGAATGTCGCTGTTCCCTGTTTTCTGTCATTTGCCTTTGCCACGTTCAACCCTGAAGCTGTGCGGCTTTTCCTGGGAATGCTCCCCGAATTCCAGAGCCCGGGAATGTCCCCCCATCCCTTGGGGGGGGGAGCAGAGCAGGGAAAACCGGGATATTTTCCCAATAATTTCCCTCCCTGTCCCTCAGCCCCGGCAAAGCCTTTATTGGAGGGTTTGATCCCAAATCCCGAATCCCGAATCCCAAATCCCAAATCCCGAATCCCAAACCGCGCTCCAAGCTCCGCCCGCCGGGATTCCCGAGCCCAGCCCGGGATTCCTCCTCCAGGAGGGAATTCCCTCTCGTCCTTAATCTCTCGGGCAGTTCCAGCCTTATTTTTCTACTCCAGATCTGATTCTTCCTCTGTGTTCGAGACCAGAGCTTGGTGCTATCCTTGGAGCCGGGGCTGGAGCCGGGAATTCTTCCTCCTCCTCCTCCTCCTCCTCCTCCTCAGGGGCTCCAACCCCTCCATCCCGGGAGGATCCCGAGGGATGGGGATCCCAAGGGATGCTGGGTCAGATATTTTGGGGTCTGGGTGCTTTGGGGGGGTCGCTCTGCCTCCCCCATGCCGGGGTCCTGCCCGAGCCAAAGCCACGCTGGAGCCGGGAAATGGGAAAAGGGAAAAGGNAATTTCTATTGGGAAAAGCTGAATGTCAAACCCCAAAAATCCTGGAAGTGCTGGTGACTTTGAGATGGGATTATCCCCTAAATTCTTGTGATTATTCCCTCAAATTCCTGCTTTTTTTTTTATTTTATCCCCCAAATCCAGGTCTCCAAAGCATCCTCGGAGCTGATGAATTACTGTGAGCAGCATGCTCGGAATGATCCTCTGCTGGTGGGAGTTCCTGCTTCTGAGAATCCCTTTAAGGACAAAAAGCCCTGCATCATCCTATAGCTGTGGATCCTTCCGGAAGGAATTTCCCCATCCAGCCTCTGGATCCAGGCTCCTCCACAGCTCCACCTGCACCCAGGGGTAAAAACTCAACGCTGGCTTCAAACAGAACTTCAAAAAAAAAATTCCTGAGAAAAACAAAAAAACAAAAAAAATCCAAGAAAAACAAAACAAAAAAAATCCCTGAGAAAAACAAAATAATACCCCAAAAAAAAGTAAATTTGGAAGTGGGGATTTTTAGGGAAAGGGTGGCTGCTTCCTGGAAAGGAAAGGGGGATTAAGGATTGGAATCAGGATTTTCAAATTTACCCAAGGGTTGAGGGAGGAAAGGAAGGTGGGGAGGGGATTTTTTTTTAATTGGGATATTTGGATTTGGGAAAGGGGAGGAGGAGGTGGGGTCATTCCCAGTGGGATGTGAGAGCTGGACCTGGATCCAATCAGAGCCAAAAATCAGCAGGAATTTCCTCTGGAGAAGGGGTGAGCTGGGAACCATTTTGTAAAAAATCAGTACAAAAAAAAAAATCAAAAAAAAAAAAAAAACCCCAAAATCCCCAAATCCAGCTGGAAAAATCCCAGTTGGGAATGGCCAAAGGGAGGCTGGGGAGGCTTTTCCCTGCATCCCACAGCTCTGCTGGGATCCAGGGATGGCCCTGCAGGGCAATTCCCAGCTGGGAGAGAGCCCAGGAGGAATTTTAGGGATCCCCAGGGATGGGGATGTCGGGATCTTTGGGGGTCTCCCAAATTCAGGGAGGGAGGGAAAGGAAGGAGCTTCCTTGGTGCATCCAGAACCTTGGAAAAATCCAATTTTTTGGGGGAGTTTCAACCCGAATCAGCAAATTCCCAGCGTTTCCCATCTCCCTTTTCCAACACTGGAATTCTTCCCATTAAATCCAGGGCCTGGGAATTGTCCAGGGAGGTTTAGGGCAGGTGGGGAAGGGGAATGGAAGGATCAGTTCTGTTCCCATCCCTTGGGAATCTGGGACTGGGATTGAACTGGGAGGGCTTGGATCTCACTGGGATGGGCTGGCGTGGAGGGGAGAGCAGGAAAAATGGGAGCAGGGAAAGGGGATCTGGAAAAATGGGAGCAGGGAAATGGGATCTGGAAAAATGGGAGCAAGAAAAGGGGATCTGGAAAAATGGGAACAGGAAAAGGGGATCTGGAAAAATGGGAGCAAGAAAAGGGGAGCAGGAAAAGGGGGAGATAGAAAAATGGGAGCAGGGAAAGGGGATCTGGAAAAATGGGAGCAGGAAAAGGGGATCTGGAAAAATGGGAACAGGGAAAGGGGATCTGGAAAAATGGGAGCAGGAAAATGGGATCTGGAAAAATGGGAACAGGGAAAGGGGATCTGGAAAAATGGGAACAGGGAAAGGGGATCTGGAAAAATGGGAGCAGGAAAATGGGATCTGGAAAAATGGGAACAGGAAAAGGGGATCTGGAAAAATGGGAGCAGGGAAAGGGGATCTGGAAAAATGGGAGCAGGGAAATGGGATCTGGAAAAATGGGAACAGGAAAATGGGATCTGGAAAAATGGGAACAGGAAAAGGGGATTTGGAAAAATGGGAACAGGGAAAGGGGATCTGGAAAAATGGGAGCAGGAAAAGGGGAGCAGGAAAAATGGGAACAGGGAAAGGGGATCTGGAAAAATGGGAACAGGAAAATGGGATCTGGAAAAATGGGAGCAAGAAAAGGGGAGCAGGAAAAATGGGAGCAGGGAAAGGGGAGCAGGAAAAATGGGAGCAGGGAAAGGGGATCTGGAAAAATGGGAGCAGG